CCCAGTTAAGCTATGGCTGTAGTTGAAATCACAATGTTTAACGTTTTGTTTTCTGCCTTCTATAATTTTCATGGCAGGTTACTAAGCGAAATACAACCACAACGTTGCTGAGATATTTGCAAAACTCTGGACCGCAGGTGTCTATGGTGGCGAACGAACGCGCTATTATCCTTTCCGGGGAGTAACGCGTTCACCACCACACCATGCGGGTCCTTTGTTTCGCACGTCTCTCAGCTATTTCTATCGATCTTTTCGCCACAGCAATCACCCGTCAGCGGGGTTGGGAGACGAGAAGCTGAGAGACGTGCGAAACAAAGGACCCGCATGGTGTGGTGGTGAACGCGTTACTCCCCGGAAAGGATAATAGCGCGTTCGTTCGCCACCATAGACACCTGCGGTCCAGAGTTTTGCAAATATCTCAGCAACGTTGTGGTTGTATTTCGCTTAGTAACCTGCCATGAAAATTATAGAAGGCAGAAAACAAAACGTTAAACATTGTGATTTCAACTACAGCCATAGCTTAACTGGGTTCTATGCCGATTTGCGCTCCCCAGATCAACCCCGCTGACGGGTGATTGCTGTGGCAAAAAGATCGATAGAAATAACTGGCAACTTTGTTCTTTATTATGGAAACAACGAACTCGACTCTGTTTCACAAAGATGTGAAGATGAATGAATAGAATGAGTACAGTAGTGAATAGGGCGTATGGAATGAAAATGATTGTTATGTGACTCCATAATTAAGCATGGAACTTTTTGTTAATCGATTTTATGAAAGCCAACTATATAGTTCCAGCCTGTGATCAAAAAAGTTTAAATAAAACGACAATATTTCCACTTTACCTAATTATTTCTTCAAATGGGTCCCGAAACGAATCCCTACGCTCAGTGAATGAAATGTTGCTATTTCGTGCTTTTTGCTTTGGCTTAAGTGTCAGCCTCAGTGGCAACTCTTTCTGACAGACCGTTTATCCTGATTGCATATTATATAGATTTTACAAGAAAAAACTATGAGCTTTCTATTAAAATTGTTTTTCTTTGGGGAACTGAATGAGAATGTTCAGTTTTGATCATCGGTGCCTACCAAGGCGCTTAACATTTTTCTAGAAGTGCTTCCCAACAACAGTTTTGTAGTGGAGGCAAATTTTGCGGAAGAAATTCCAACGGCGTAGTTTATAACAATCTTTTATTGAGTTTAAAGGTGCGAACATTTAACAACACTTTGCCGTCATAGAACTGAAGACGATGACTTTATTTCGCAGTCCAATCAATAAAAGTGCTAGAATGCTTCTTTAATCATTTGTTTATTCAAGCATTTTGGTCATTTAGTCCCATTGCAAAGAATCTTAGCTGGGAAAGAAATTATTTCTGGCCGTTGCCATAAGAATCCAGAAAATGAGGAGCCTAAACTGAAAAGGTGGGGTATAGTAAAATTTTGTTATTCTGCTCTGGTCCTCTCACTCAGCTCTTCTGGATCTGTGGCGTTATAGCAGCTCTTTCAAATTTGGCAATTAAACCGTTTGCATACATAATGTTTTTTTTTTGATGAGCCAACACGTGGTTGCTATTAAAATTAATTGGCAGTGGGGGCGACTTTTCTGCAGTTCATCCTTCTTCAGAGCCTACACAGGTTAAAGTGCCAAGCAATCTACTCAGGCGAACATCGTCATGACTGAGGTAGAGAAAACTCAACACACAAACAAGCGAGGACCAACGACTCGGATCATCGGCTCTGAGGAAGACGAAGACGTCGAAACGTTAGCCGAAAATAAACATCATTATCAACCTCGTGTAAGCTCATCAAAGAAGGAATACATATCAACACACAAAGTTCAT